TATGCTACAGTCAACAAAGTCTTTGTCCACAGGAGCTTACCTCCTAACATCACAACCGAACAAATAGGTATATAAGTCAGGTGGTAATACTGCCATAAAGGAAAAACAAAACTGGTTCAAACTGAACCTGGCAGGCAGGCTGGCTGTATTTTTGCACATGGTGGTCAGGCAACCCTGCTGAGGGGAATGACACAGAGCAGAGGTGAATGAAATGAAGGATAAGCTGTGTGGCCACTAGATCCTTGAGTGTAACCTTTTGACTGAATCCAAATTTTACAGAACAAATCCTTTTAATAAAGGGATTTGTTCTGTGAAGTTTGGATTTGGTCGAGGGGCTGTACTTGGGGAACCGGAAGGCCACATGTGGCCTTGAGGCCACAGGTTCCCAACCCCTCAGCTCTGTAGCAAGTGTGCACTTAGCCTAGTGAACACTGAGGGCTGTGTGGCCTCAGCAGAGGGAGCAAGAGGGATGGGACAGAAGATGAGGTCAGAGGAACAGCCAGAGCCAGGCTCCATCAAGCTGTGTGGAGCATGGGTAGGACTTGGACTTGACTAAGTGCCATGGGAAGCCCCAGGAGTTATGGTTGGGTTGATTAAAGGTCATTTAAAGGTAAGTCAAGGCTCACCTGCAACACTCACTGGCATGCCTGTCGGACCTGTCAATTTATGGAATCTGCACCGGATCTTCTGAGGCAGGGACTGAGACTCAATCTCCCAGGTGACCCTAGTGGCACTGACCCCACGTCCCACCACCTAACCATGCACATCCAAGCTCCTTCACTGAGCTTTCATGCCTCTCCCCCAACTTCCCCCATCTCATCCCATCCAGCCTCACTCCCACCCTAACAATCACCCTAATTTCATCCTTACTGACTGTTCCCCACTACAAACTCTGCCCCAAAGAAATCATCTGGCTTGACTTGCTTATTTTGGTCTCAAATATCAGGAATTTGAACCTAAGGCTCGCATCTTTCATTTTCTTTGTATCTCAGGAAATACTGTACTCAATATTGTACTCAACGTGGGTAAGTACTTAATGAATGCTACTGACAAGACAACCAAGGTATTACTGCAAAAGAAGACGGACTCTCCTTTAATGTTCACATAGGCTTAAAGCAATTCCACCATTCTTCAGGCAATCAACTTACAATAAGAGTTGAATGTGCGTGCATGTGGGGACAGATAAAGTTTTGAAGGCAATACTGGTTTCAAACAAACCAGCTTTATTCTATCATAAAGATGAGGACTCTGAATGAGACAAGTCAAGTTCTTGCTGGAAGAAGAGTGCTAAAGAGCTTTGTATTTCATCTGTGGCACACACCCACATGTCTATCCCTAGGTGACTTTGGTCATAAACCTGCAATAGTCAAAAAAGCAACAGGAGACAATCTTTCATTATTCTAGCATTCTTAATTCAGGCTAAGAATGGTTTCAGCATCTCATGAATAATTTGTTGTCCTAAAATTAAAACTCAATTAAAAAAATACTAATTACTACGTACCGGGTCCCAACCAGGAGAGGGCACCATAGTAATATTACCACCATTCTGCAGAAACTTAATTCTTCAGATCATATTTTCGTTTCACATTTCCTTCTACTAATCATACCTGTCTGTAGAAAGCCGGCATGCTTCAATTCTTCAATCACAGGTGTTAAGTCTGGGGCAATCTCTTCATATTCTATTTTGTTCATCTTAATCCAGCTTAATTTACGTTGGAAGAGCCTTACATATAACTTCTGACCATTAGCTGCAATAAAGTTAAGAAAAATGGTGAAAAATACTACCTTCCTTCTAAAACCAACATGCAAATATCATTTACTTTTTAAACTTGAGGTGAATAACTACTCTATTAGACATACATGTGCTTACCATAAGTATAATGGTGTCATTTTATGGTATAAACCATTAAAAAAGTTCTAATTTGGTAATGATTATTGCTCATTTCAAAACTCCTAAAATCAAGTTCCCCCGTTTTCTAGCCACCAACTTTTCTACTCCCTCAGAAAAGCCCTATCCAGAATTCTAGTTATTTTGTTCTCTGTTTTAGTTTAATATGCATTATTCTATTTTTGGTTGAAAATAATCTGAAAAGAATCCCCATTCCCACCGGCAAAAAATGTCTAGCTTTGGTAGGACAGTGATCTTGGCCAAGCTTCTTCATTAACCTATTTGGTCTCAGTTTCCCTATTACTCATATTATCTTTAAATTTCAGCCAACTCTAAAAAGGTGTAATTGTATTTTTTAAACTTTAAACATTTATTTGACGTTGTTTTTTTTCTTTAAAAAGGCAAAACCAATTAGCAATAGCTATTTTTCCACACATGGTATACGTGATTCTCCATGGAGAGCAAGACACAAGAATATGCAGAACTTGCACTGGGGAAACTTCCTATTTCTCAATTATATGGAAGCATAGAGCCACCAAGCACTCAAACAAACACCTGCATGAATGCCATCAGTACAGATCTGTGACTACTCTGAATAGAAGAGCCAATGTGATAGCCTTATGTCCATCTTCTGGTGAGAACAGCACAAGTAGAGACAGAAGCTGTGCAGATACTTTACATAACTGTGCCCAGAGAAGTATCGCTCACATGTTGAAAAGTAATCCAAGGAATATGGTCATTCCACTGTATGAATATCAAACAAAAATCCTTACCTTAAACATTAGTAGTAATATTCAAGATTTTTCTTTTTTTTCATCTACTGAGGGGTCAGGCAAGGCTACATTTTACTAGAGGACAATGTGGCCACCAAGTAAGCTTTTCCTGCCTTGCATGGAGTCAGTTCCACAGAGCCATCATGGCCCTCTGGATTAACAGTGTAGTGACACAGGGGTGGCTTTTGCTCCAAACCTGGACTACTGGTTTAGTGCCACCACTGGCTGCCAAGGACTTGAGGCATAAACTAACATTTTTAAATGAACCAATTTAAGCTTGAAAGTTTCCATTTCCTCCACACCCTGTCCTTAAAAGGCAGAGTCCATGAATTTAAAATGTCTGGGGAAAGAAAATACGCCTCAGGTTGGTTTATTTTTTCTTGTATTTTATTTTACTTTTTTTTTGAGGAACTGGTGTGTGAAAATAACGAAACAACCTAACAGTAAGCTTGATTACGTTCTCAAAATGCAAAGTATACCTTTCTAAGTCATACTGTATTTTTTTAATCTGGAAAAGGTTGTTTTATCTAATATATCTATAAAGGAAAAAACAGCTCTTTCCATTTTAACCCAAGTACAGCATGCAGGAGCAGACATCACCAGAAACAAAATCTCATCTTTTTTCTGTGCATATCATTCTCAACACAAACCTTGTAGTAGCTCAGATTCCCCTGAGCACTCCCACAGAGGACTCACAAAACCACAGTGACTCCTGGTGGCCCATCACTTCACATCCAAATCAGGACAGCAAGCAAGAAACAAAAACTCAAAAGCAAATAGGCTTACGATACCTGACAATTGATAAAATTTAGTTACAATTTCCTTCTCCTGTTCATCAAAGAGCATCAGATCATCTTCATTCTCAAGTACAGCTCGCAGCACCACAAGGAAGCTCCGAAGGTAGTATGGATGACTCGGTGGCATTTGAGTTGTTTGACCAGGACCATCACAGCTTGACTCTTGCAACAGAGGAATACTGCAAGTGATTTCATTCTTTAAGTCACTGTCACCTTTCAGAAGAAGCTCTTGGATGTTACTCCGTTTAGAAGCATCATTTGTAGAACTATGAGAGTTTGTCTCTGAATGTGACAATTGTGTTTTAGCTTCCGAAGCAACAGTCATTTCTACTTCTTCACAACTACATGCCTCACATTTTTCAACACCTTTACCATCCACACCTTTGTTACTCTCTTGCCTTACAAGACTGTCTTCTGGAGTACACTTTAATTTATTCCTAAGAGTTAAATCTGGTGAAAATGACATGAGAGCATTATCTGAGAAGCCAGGGGTGAGGGCTGATTTCCCACATTCCTTTTGGCTTTCAGCTTCCTTTATTTTACTGCCTCTTACTGTGTGTTCGGGAATACTCTCTTCCTTTGGAGAATCACATGTAAACATGTTTTCCTTTTGAGAACTGTTTTCCAAAATTTGATCCTTCTCCTCAATTTCTGAACAGTTATCAACCAGGCTCCTAACAACTGTGGAGTCATAACTCTGTGGACTAGGACTGGCAAATTCTTCATTCTTAGCTATTGATTTTTTAGCCTTTGTATATTTTCTGGACAATTTAGATGACAGGCTTCCCAAAGAAATGATTTTCACACTATGATTTCTCAGCTCATCTTGACTCTTGCACACCAGGTCACCAGTACTTTTAAAGTAGGGACTGGTCTGCTGTTTTATGCCCATTTTTGCTGAATCACTTTGGCCAGGGATTAAATCTGTCTTTCGTGGTGATGACTTCTTTGGTGTTACATCTTCCAAGACAACATTGGTTAAATCTACTGTGGACATATTTGAATTCTTTAAGCCAGCCTGCAATGGACCAACTTGAACGTCACTGTTGTTAGCACACATTTCATCAAGGTGCCGGTTTAAGTCATATCTTGGCACCATTTTACTACAAATGGGGCATGCAAGCTTAGCAGGTGGTGCATTGTTAAAAAATGAAATTATAGAATTAGATGATTTTTTTTTAGTCTTGCTGATTGATAAGCTTCTACGAGGCCTTTTTTTGTCAGGAGATTTCCCTTCGGACATCATAAGAAAAACTGGGTGTTCCAAACAATAAAACACAGGATACCTCAAGTCAAAGATAGCAATGGTTTACTTCTACTTTCTTGACTTGCAATAACCAAAAGTGAGATTCTATTTGGCCTCATGTTATTCGTTTAGACAACTTCTTCTTTCTACAATATGAAACACATGTGGATTAAAAACATTTGTATAGATTGAACGAGAAGGGGGTAAAATTCTAAAACACAGAAAGGCTGTATCTCCCGGGATGAAGAGACGAACGACCCTGGGCTTCAGACAGGAGACCAAGGCTCTACGACCAGCTCCGCACGAAATCTTAGTGTGTTCCTTATCATAAAATGAAGAAGCTGGACTTGTAAGGGTAATTTCTAAAATATCTTCAAAAGCTAAAACTATCCGTTTTTAAAAAGAGACAATTTGACTATTCCAGACCACTGCATCAGTAACTTTTTCCGCGTGAGATGGTGACTATCCGCGCGTATCCCAAGGTGATTCTTGCCCCACAGGCCTGCACAGACGAAAGGCTCAAATCACATGAATCTGTGCACAAGCCTGGCTGTCACCACCACGGCTTCCGCTATGAACCCCAGAGGCCCGGGCAAGCACGCGATCAAGCCCGGGCCTCCCTCCCTCCCTCCCTCGGTGCCCGGCCGCCGCGAACCCAGCCCGGCCGCGCCGCGCCTCCCACCTGGCTCTGCGCGCGGCGCTCCCAGGCACTCCCAGCCGATCCTCGCGTCTCGATTTCACAGCCTCGGCAAGTGGAGATTCGAGTGATCGATCTCCGTTCCTTTCCACTTAAAGGCTTCGATACTGGTGGCTAAGGCTAGGCGAAGCCCTGGAGGGAACCTGAGCATCTCCATCTTTTCACCCCTGGAGCGGCGGGACTCCCTGCGCGCCTTCTCTGCGGCTGTGTGCTCTGATGGGACCGCTTTCCCCGTCGGTGGCAAGGTTGAGCAATCTAAACCTGCTTGGTGGAGGAGCAAAACCGCCTCCTGGGAGAAGACATAGGCAACTTCTATAACCAACAAGAGGATAGTATGAACTCTACTTAAGCAAACTCCTGCGAATCAGCAAGAGGGACGGCTCAGTGTTGGGCTGGGCTTTCCGAAAGACTGTACTGATTGATTAACGGTTATCTGATACATCCATATAAATGATATCAAGAGCAAATAATAAAATGTAGTAATTAGGGTGTGATGAGTTTTGAGTATTTATTACTTTTGTTTTTAATATATTTTGTCAGGTTATATAATTTAACTTTTAATAATGGCTCTGTTTAACAGTTGAGAAATTAGCAATCACCTTTGGAGCACTGGTATCAGCTGGTTCCAGCGTACCCATGGATAACCTAGAAGGTAACCTTCTTGAGATCAGACATTCTGTTTATTATCTTTTACCATATCACCGTTGCCTGCGACAGTGGCTAGCACTGTGTAATTATTCATAAATATGCACTGAATGAGTACATGTCAATGAACAAATATTAATAAATGAACAAACCAAAGAGAACAAAGACATGAATAGGAAATTCAACAAGTATATATTGAGTGCCTACCTCATTCTGGGTACTGTTCTAGAGGCTGAAGATCCATGGCAGTGAACAGAATGAGCAATTGGGGGATGGGGGGTGGAGGAAATCCCTATTTTCATGAAGAATACATTCTAGCAGAGGGAGATAAAGAAAATACAAAAAATAAGTATTTAGTGAAGTAGAAGAGAAAGCCAAAAACATCTTGGGGGGTGGGCAGAGGGGAGGGATTACAACTTGAAAGAATGGTAAGGAAAGGCCTCACTGTAAAGGTGACATTTGAGCAGGCCTGAGGGAGGTAAGGGTTTGGATGTTGAGAGAAGATACTTGTAGGCAGGGAAACAGCAACATCCCATGTCTAATAAAAGTCCTGCGGTAGAAGCTTGCCTAGGGGGGTGGTCTAAGAACTTCAAGGAGGCCAGAAGACTGGAGCAGAAATGGAGTGAGAGGGGCAGCACAGGGCCAGATCCTGTAGGACAAGGGTCGGCGTTCTGTAAAGGGCCAGGTAGTAAATATTTGAGGCTTTGCGGACCCTGTGGTCTCTGGCAAAACTAGGCAACACTGCTGTTGCAGTGTGAAAGCAGCCATAGACAATATGTAAAAAACGAGCGTGGTTGTGTGTTACAGCTGCTTTTTCGCTCCTGAGCTCGGTAGTGAAGGAATGAATAATTACTGGAAACACATAGTGTTTAGAGAGAAGGGGAAGAGACCAAAATCTAAAGGAGAATAATGGCCTCCTCAGTTAAGTTCCTCCCCATATTTATTTCCAAGGACATGTGCAAAGGGTCAGAGCTGTTTGCTAATTTAACAACTTCCATACAGGTCAACAGCTGACCTTTGCACACAGCAAAGGAGCAACTTTAGGCAGGCATTTTCTCCTGACCCTTCATTCACCTTGCTCACGTTCTTTCCATTCATTCTTCCTTTCTTTCCCGGTACAGCCCCTACAGTTGTGCTCCAATAAAATTTATTTAAAAAACAAGTGGCTGATTTGCCATCCAGCTATGGCTTGTGCCTTGCCAGCACCTGATATAGGGCCTTGCATGTCACTGTGGATTTTAGCACTGACTTTGAGTGCGATGGGAAGAGGGGGGATACAAAGATTTTGAGCACAAGCTCCAAAAGGACCATCCTGTGTGTCGTCTTAAGAACAGATGATGGGAAGGGGGTGCACAAGGATGGAAGCTAAGAGAGGGAACAGGGAAAACAGAAGGCTAATGAAGGAACCCAGGGAGAGATGATGATGGCATGGGTCAGGGTGCTAGTGTTGCAATTGATAATAAATGGCCATATTCTGGATGTATTTAGAAGATAGAGCCAGCCTCTGCACTAGCAAACAGGAATGCAGAGTGCAAACCCCTAGGCTTTTCTCAGCCACTGTGATTGGCCCCTGGATATAAAAATCCAGAAGGGCTTTCCTTGTTGCTTTGGCTGATTTTTAGTCCTCATTCTCTACCCATCTGGAATAAGGCTTAATGCATTTCCTTCAAATCATTATGAGGTCCTATCAGACAAAAGGCAATTTTCTCTGG